GGCAGCACCCCTCTCTCGGGCACGGCCCCACACGCCGTGCCGGGGCAGCACCCCTCACCTGGGCACGGCCCCGGCGTGAGGGGCAGCCCGGCGATGCCCGGAGCGGGACTGGCGTTCCTCCGTGCCCGGCAGCCGGGCACGGCTTCGCCCCGCTGCCCCTCACTCGCCTGTGGGGAAGCCGCCAAAATGGCGGGGGGCGGAGGCGGACCCCCCTCCCGCGCCGGCAGCGCGATGAGGGAGGCAAGGGAGGCAGAGCCGTCCCGTATCCCAGGGGAAAAGGCGTCCTGGAGCAGGTTTTCTCCTCAGGGATCCCCCCCGCGCCCGCGGGACGGGGACGCGCCCGGCGCGGCGACTCACCTGAGGCGGCATCGGCCAGCGCGGCGCGGAGCAGCAGCGGCAGCAGCAGCACGGCGGCCCCGGCGGTGCTCATGGCCCCTGGCGGCGAGCAGCGAGTGCCCGCCGGGCCCGCGGCAGGTGCCGGGGCAGCGCCTCGGCCCCCGCCCCGCCGCCAAACTTCGCCCGCAGACAAAGGGGCAGCTCCGCGCCGCAGCCCGCCCGCCCCCCGCCCCGCCCCGGGCAGCGCTGCGCCCTCCTTCCTCCCGGCACCCGAGCCTCTCCTCCTCCTCCTTCTCCCCCTCCTGTTCCCCGGCACCTTGCTCCCGGGGGGGCAGAGGATTGTGGCTTCTCCCCCCCTGGGGATGGAGCAGCCCCCGGTAATCCCGCAGCCGTGCGGGGATTAGGGAAAGCAAACGTGTTTGTGTTGGATGTGACCCCACTGATTTGATCCATGCCGGCGGCTGGAAGGGAGAGGTCACCCTCTCGCCGGGGTTGAAGCCTCTAATTTGCTGTGTTTTGGGTGTCAGTTTGGGTTGTAGGATTGTAACAGCAAGTATGAAAGCCTGGTCTATTTCCACGTCCATTTCTTCGTGGCACGGCTGCCGCTTTGCTCTTTCTTCCTAGAGCAAATCCAAGTAAGAGTTAAAGACGAGACCTCTAGCAATCCCACATCAAGCACTCAAACTAAAAGAAAAAACCATCAGAAACTCAAGTTTAACTGCTGCCCTTACAGTGTTTTCTTGCTTTAAGCACTTCCACACACACACACAGTACTAAGTCCATTCAAGAAAAGCTTCCCGTGTCACCACTCCAGCACTGCACACTCAACACATCTCGCAGCCAACGTTTCCAAATGAAAGTTTGGCTCCTGCAAGTCACAGGATAAAGAAAAACAGCCCCAATTTGAAGTTACAGCCATTCCCAGCCCCAAATTAAAATGAACTCGGAAAGGGAGTTTATTTTTACTAGCCTGTGAATGACATGGGGGGTTTTTTTCCTGCCAATTTCAGCGTTCCTGCTTCATAGCAGCATCCCAGTTCCCACACAGCAGTGGCTTGCACAGGGCTGGGCTGCTGCTGCTGCCTTCATCTCCTGCCTGCCTGATTAAATGCAACGATGGCAGCTCAATTTGATAACAATTCCCCGTGGTAACTCCATCTGCTCAGTTTTGATTCACTTCCTAATGAACGCTACCATGTTCAACTCCGAGTTGGAGGTCGGATTTTCTGGGCTTTTTTTTTTTTTCCCCCTCCCCAGGACTGTGTGCTGGAATTCCCACAGCAAAAAAACCACACAAGCCCCAGGTCCCTTCTAATTCCTCAGGTGAAACTCTGGACAATGTCACCAAACTCAAAGGAACACCAGCAAGAAAGAACAGGTGAAAATAATAAAAGCCAAGCACACAGAGGGTCCAATAACTTGATATAAATGTGTCAATTCCACCTTTTAACCATTTGTGTTGTCCTGCTGCTGTTCTTTAGGCTTTGAAAACTTGTTTCCCTAGTTCATCTACAGCCTCCTCCTCCCCATTTCTCCTGCCTTCCTTCCTGCTCTTCTCACAACACTGCTCCCAAGACTCTGTTAAAAGTCAGAACTCCAGACCCATAACTTAGATAATTTTTCAGATTTTCCCTCTAGCAACTACTCATTGCCAGCATTTCTCAAGTTTTGCACTCGGTGCAAAAAGCTTGAAATTTTCAGGAATTCGAAGTTTGGTAAAGTTTTGTCCTTTGCATCCTGTTTAACCCAAAAGCAGCATTTCTGTTCTGAGTCTGCTTACAGATGAGCAGCAAATAAAATTATAAAACAAGCTTCAGACTCTCTCAGGAGAAATATGAGATAGTCCACAGGCTGAAAGCTTGAAGGGCACAACTTGCAAAGCACTGATGCAGCCATCAGCTGCTGCCACAGATCTTGGAAACAATGGCACAAAAAGTCACTGGGGGTGTAGAAATAAACCACTTTTAGCCTCCTTTTTTTAATCAAACCTCTAGGCACAGGTCAGTTTTCTGCAAGTTGGTGTGAAAGAGCCATTCCTCCACTTGGCAAACCCCTGGCTGAAAGGACTGGAGCCAGACATGCCTTGTGTTCCTGGAAAGATGGGCATGTGCTGGCTCAGCCTTGCACAGAGCAGCTGGAGAAACATGGCTCTGAGAAGGATCCATCTCTGGCAAGTGAAGGAGTTCTCATCTGCATTCCCCACTTCCAGAACACCTGACAGTTATTTTTCCAGCTTTTAACTGGGGTTCTGAAAGGACTGGAGCCAGACATGCCTTGTGTTCCTGGAAAGATGGGCATGTGCTGGCTCAGCCTTGCACAGAGCAGCTGGAGAAACATGGCTCTGAGAAGGATCCATCTCTGGCAAGTGAAGGAGTTCTCATCTGCATTCCCCACTTCCAGAACACCTGACAGTTATTTTGCCAGCTTTTAACTGGGTTTTTTTTTCACAATGTTTTTAATAAGCCTTTTTAAAATCCATGAGGTTAGCCCACGGAAACGACGTGGCATTGTCACCACGTGTGACCTCAACCCAGCATCTCCCAGTACCTGGCAGTTTGGGAAGACTGGCATTTTCCTCTTGTTTTCCAAGCAGTCCTGCAGGGGACACACTGACACTTCTCCTTTCCTGTCCTGGTGGGATGAAGCCTCTAGACACCTGCAAGCTGAGGCACTGACAGAAGTAACTGCTTGGGGAAGAATTATGTTTATCCCTAACAGTGTTTTTAGTCAGCCTCTAAAGCTTTTTTCCCCTCAATCCAAGTTTTCCCACATGGACAGATCTTTGGCTACAGCATTAGCCTCTCCCAGAGTCTGCCAGGACCAATGGCATTGCAGAACATGGTTACTAAAATCATATTTAATCACTCAGAACACCCATCACAGCACTAAAAACCTGTCACCCCTGGTGGCAGCTGCCACATGCCTGCCCTGCTCCTCCAGCTGTGGCAGAACTCCCAGCACAAACCCCGTGAACTCCGCTTGACCCACGGAGATCCCAGCTTTTTTTTGGAGTGCCAAGAATTCCCCCACAAGCCCAGGTTGAGGCTGAGGGTCAGCCCAAACCCTGCAGCCCCCACAGCTGCACGCAGGCTGCCAGCACAACTTCTCCCTTCTTTGGGCAAATGTTTCCACGTGTTTCACTAAGCCTGACTGCCAGCTCTGCTCCTTAGCTAAACCAAGAGCAGGGATAAAACCAAGCTGAAAGCCATCATCCATCATCTGCAGGGCTGAAGGTGCTGCAGCACTGCCTCTCTCCATCCCACAGTGGCTTCCAGAAGCCAGCAGTCACGCTCAGTGGGACAATTAAAGGGATTTCTAAGGCCCAAGAACCACAAGTCCCGCTCTGCATGTTTGAGGACTGAGCTCATTAAACAGCAATCCTTTCACGTTGTCTTTCTCCCTTCCATCTCTCCCCACCCCATGCCAATCCAGCATTCCAGGATAAAAAAGAAGTCCCAAGGCACTCAAGAGCTTGTACACCATGGCACAGCCCAGGGGCAATATTCCTTCAGCAATCAGTAACACCAGTTCAGAACTGCACCTAAAAACTTGCTGAGCCCATCAGCTGCTTCTCTTGCCCACCTGACCTCCAGAGGCCCAAGATTCCCTGTGTCCCCACAGTTCTGGGATTTTCCAAGTGCAGATTCCTGCAGGAACATTTCTTATTCTGTGCTTTTATTCTCAGAGAGCACACTCAGCAGTCTGAGAGCTTCTGATTTAAGCCCACCTGTGCATTTATGCTTAAGCAGCACTTTTTCTTTTTAAAATCCACCCATCAAAGAGGGCAGGCCTATCTTTTCCCAAAATGGACAGTGAAGTCTTGGAAACAAGCCAAGAGAACAGGGAAAAAACAGAGAAATCTGTGCAGATAACATCACAGCCTTTGGTTTTCCACACCAACAGGTCACTCATATTCAGATTGCTCCTTTTGGGCCACAAACAACACACACAACCACTGGAATGCCTCATAATACCCCTTACATGTGTAATTCCTTAGAAATAAAGATATTCCAGTGCACTGGCATTGCTTTTCCCACTGACAACATGCAAAGTCCATTAAGTCAGTGTGAAACCTTCCTATACACAACTTAAAGGGTTTTTTTGGATCAAACTCTGAGCAAAGAACCCCAAACAACCCAAATAATCAGCATGGCCTGACAGGAATTGGTCACCCTGACTGACAGCAGCCAAATGCTTCTGATGGGAACTAAAATAATTTCCATGCAGACAGATCCCAGTAACTCCTGGAAAAAGGAGGCCCACCTCCAATAATAGGAATTATTTAAACCTTGCCAGATTTGGATCAGCTCACCCCTGTTGTAAACAGCCAGTCCTTTCTGGGACCTTCTTACATTTCGGGGTGCAGCTTTACAAACACATGTTCAGCAACAGAGCCCCCCCAAAAATACCAGTCCAGGAGGAATTCCAGCGCCTACACGGGCGGGAGCGCCATCTCCTGGAAGGAAAGCGGAAAACACCGGGAAAGAGCCGGGTCTGCAGCTGGCGTTCCAAAAAAACCAGGCGAGGAAAACACAGCGGAGCGAGCCGCACGCTCGCTGCCCCCCAAAAAAACACATCCCGTTCTTCCTTAGGGAAAAACACCTGCTCGGTTCTGACAACAGGCTCCTGCTCGTTACAACGTTACACCCAATTCAGACACGAAATCCACGAGTTCCATTTATTTTTTGCTCTCACAGAGCATGATTTGAGCGAGACCGTTTGCCTCCCCAGCTCCAGCGCCAGGTCCACGAGGAAAACACATCAGGCACCAAGGGATTCCTGGGCAGGTTTTTGCTGGTCCTCACCAGCTGCATTTTCTTCCTCTTTTTCTTCTGCTTTCTCCACCCGAGGCAGGATTCCATCGAGGTTCAGCAGCAAGCCTTCACTGGTGGAGGATCTGATCACCAACCTCTGCACAATGGGATCTAGGGAGACAAAGGGCAGCACCAAGCTGGTCACTCCACCCCTTCCCAGCTCTCCAGGCTGACTGCTCCCAGCAAATGTTTGCCACCAAGCCAGTAAAAGAACACCACAAGAATCAGGCTTGACACTCCAAATAAAATTTTGAAAAAGCTGCTCAGAGGAGAAAAGCTAATCCTCAGTAAACTGGGCTGATGTACATTGATTTAAATTAATTTAAAAAAACACCCCTTTCTGCGTTTATATTTAAAATCAGGCAACCCCTTATAGTTTTTATTTGGGCTTCTCAAGGCATGTGCACTTGGCTTTTCATGGTCTGGTCTCTGCAGCTACTGTGAGCAGCAGCACTGGGAGAGGGACAAGACCATTCTTCAGGCAGACATTAAGCAAGTACCAACACCAAAAAATGGGATTGCAGCTTACACAAAGCTCCTTCCCTAAAATTATTTCATAAACCACCATCTCCTCTCCAGCTAAGCAGATGCCCTCTGCTTAAAGTTGACTACATTATTCCTTTTGCTAAGGAAGATAAGGAAAGAAAAAAACAGCTTTTCCCTTGGAGGGGCAGGAATTTTAAGAGATATTTGGAGAGCAGCAAGGTAACTGCATGACAACCCAGTAAAGAACACCCATCTCCCAGCTTGGGTTTGCTGCAGCCTGAACAAACCTTACCAAAATTGGAGGGCTTGAAGGTGCAGATGTCGTGGATGATTGCTCTCAGGTTGGCAATGATGTGCTCAGTGGGCATATCCAGCTGCAAAGGGACAGTGCCAAGTCAGCCATGGTTATTTTATTTTATATTTTATGGTTATTTTATAGACATGGTGAGGCCTGGAGCTGGTGTTTGTGTTTATCCTGCGTTTGGATAGGTTTCCTTTGTCTGTGTTCCCTGGGAAGGAGTGACAAGTCCCATTAACAGCCTTATCCAAATGCTGATTTGCTCACTCTTCTCCCTGTTTCCACTCAGGACATGAAATTCCAGGGCTCTGTAACAACTTGCAGCCTCAAGGGCTGGAAACTCTTAAAAAAACCAACCAAAACCTCATTAAAATGAAGGAGCTGGGGAAAGAAGCTTCAAGCAGCAGCTGTCAAAGGCCACAAAATGCATCAGCACCCAAAACTGAAGGCATTAGGAGTGGAACAGAATGAAATCAATCAACAGAACCAACTCATCAGCTCCATGATGAGGACAGGTAATGCTCAGACAAAACAGTTTTCATATTCAAAGGAAGATGCCAGCTTCCAAACCAGCTTCCCACAGTAAATCCTCGTGGATGCACACCTATTTGTCTCCAACACTGCCAGGCAAAGCTTCAGGCATTTCCTACCCTTCCCTGCCTGTGCCACCCTCAGTTAGAGGAACACCAAACATCAGGCAGGATTACAGAGACACAAACCAGAAGGAAAATAAAAAAATCCCAGAGCTTAGGGCAGAGGAAATGAGTAAATAAGCCAAAATTAATGTTGTATTTCAGGTAACACAAACAGTTCTTGCTTCCTGCTCCAGTCCAGAACTACAGTTAGCAAAATTAGAAGTCTTCAATTATTTGGTTAAAGCAAAGACTTTTTGATTCTCCTGTGAATATTGACCATGGACTTACAAACTTATACTTTATTCATTTACCAAAAATAAAACCAACAAAAAACAAAACAACCAAAAACCCCAAGAAGTTTAAAACCAGCTGAAGATGCCACACGACAGGATTCTATCTTCTTCACAGATTAGCTGAAAAAAAATGGTCAAAAACTTGGAGAAACAGATTGAAAAGATGGTTTTTTTCCCCCCTCTTGGAATACCACAGTTCTGCTCAGGGCAGAAAATGCAAGAGCTCTGCCCACACTTACTCTGGCTATTCTTGTCTTGATGACACTCTCGTCCTGCACAGAGTACTCGTGACATTCTCTGAAGAATTGCACCATCCTGGGAATGTCACTGCCCAGGGAATCTGTTCAAAAAACAAACAAAAGAAGTGGTCTGAGCAACGGTAATTAGCACAGAGGGGTGTGGCACCAGGAAAGAGATAATCCAATCTGTTAATTGAGGCAAACACCACGCCAAAACGCAGTTTCAGAGACAGGACAATGGTGTGCTAAGTGAGACCACAGAAACAGTCTCTCTGTTCCCTCCTTGCCCACTCAAAAATGGGCAAATTTATCTGGGTTCTTACCCCAGATTTGCCTGTGGCAGGAAAAAAATGGATCCCTGAAGCTCCCTTGAGCTGAGACAAGTGGTGCAGCCACAGCCTAACACCCCAAGTAACCACACAGCCTGACAAAAACCATCCCAGGGCTCCACCTCCCTCAGGAACTGGTAACCAAGAACTGCTCCTTACTTCTCTTGATGCTGGGGTACTTCTTTTTCAGTTTGTTCCTCAGGGGGATGAGCTTGGGGATGATGGCAGGGACAGCCACGTAGAAATCAGCCTGGATTTCATCCTCCAGGATCTGCAACAAGCACAGTTCCACTGACTGCACTGAAGCTGAGTGATAAAAAGGTCCAAAAGCACAGAAACCCATCTCTCACTCTGCCTGCTGCCTCCCAGCTAGAGCCCCAGTCCTGCTAAAATTGGGATTTTTTTGCAATTCTTTAAGAAAAAAACATACCCATTTGATTAATTCAACTCCTCCCACGATGGCAGCCCCGTGCTCCCGAGCTGCCTCAGCTTCCTGCTCGTTCTGTGGAGAGAAAAAAAGTAATTAAAAAAGCTGGACTACTAATTGGGCTGCTGCTGGTCTGCTGCCAGTTGAGCTCAGGGAGAGAATTCCAAACAATTCCGTCCCAAGAGGCATCAGATAAACCCATGGGAGCTCTGTGGGATCATCTCACACAGATAAAGTTATGAATTGGCAAAGGACAGCTGCAAGAGTGTGCTGGACACCAAAACCCCATGGAAATGAAGGAATTCTGGCTCACCCACCTCTGGGAACACCAAAACCCCATGGAAATGAAGGAATTCTGGCTCAACCACCTCTGGGAACACCAAAACCCCATGAAAATTAAGGAATTCTGCTTCACCCTCCTCTGTGAGCACCAAAACCCCAGGAAAATGAAGGAATTCTGGCTCAACCACCTCTGGGAACACCAAAACCCCATGAAAATGAAGGAATTCTGGCTCAGCCACCTCTGTGAGCACCAAAACCCCATGAAAATTAAGGAATTCTGCTTCACCCTCCTCTGTGAGCACCAAAACTCCAGGAAAATGAAGGAATTCTGCTTCACCCTCCTCTGTGAGCACCAAAACTCCAGGAAAATGAAGGAATTCTGCTTCACCCTCCTCTGTGAGCACCAAAACTCCAGGAAAATGAAGGAATTCTGCTTCACCCTCCTCTGTGAGCACCAAAACCCCAGGAAAATGAAGGAATTCAGTTTGACCCACCTCTGTGAGCAACAAAACTCCATAAAAATAAAGGAATTCTGGCTCACCCACCTCTGGGACCACCAAAACCCCATGAAAATTAAGGAAATCTGGCTCACCCACCTCTGTGAGCACCAAAACCCCAGGAAAATGAAGGAATTCAGCCTCACCCACCTCTGTGAACACCAAAACCTTGTTCACCTCGTCCGTAAAGTGATGGGGAAGAGAGACACCGCTGGAAAAAGGATCCACTTTTTTCTGGCAAGTTAAAAAAAAATAAAAATATTAAAGCAAACAAAACGACATTAAGACTCCAGGGTAAACTACAGCATCACAGGCAGCTGGTGCCCTCAAAATGACAGGCAGAAAACACAAACGAGGCACGGGACTGCCCTCAGTGCAAACAGACCCAAAGCCTCCAGGGGTGCCACCCCACCTTCTTCTGCAGAGCCATGTCCAGGAACACGTTGATGTAGACAAACTGCTTGGGGTGGGTGAAATCCAGCTCCTGGAAGCTCTTGAGCATGGCCACGGCCTGCTCCAGCCCGTAGGAGGGTCTCCTGTAGAGCCAAGTCAGGTACACGTCGTCCACGGGCTTGCTCATCAGCGGCCGCCTCCGAGGGAGGGGCTTCTCCCTGGCCGGCTCCTTCCCCTTCTCCTGCCTGCTCCTCTTGGCGTCTTTTTTGGCAGCTCTGAGACCAAAAATAAACCCCCCAGGCACGTTGTGAGCTCAGCAGTTATCTTATCTTCACGGCAGCCTTATTTCATAAAGCAAGGTTTCCTCCTCCCTCTCCCGTGGCATTTTGCAATCAGTTGATTTTCCTATTTTCCTAATTTTCCTATTTTCAGAGGGTCTCCAGGCGAGGAGAAGAATATTAAAATAATAACTGGACACTCCACCTCTCTGTAAAGAGCCTGCAGCACTGGAGAACACTTCATTCTCCTGTAGATTTTTGCTCCTCCCAGCCACGCTCTGTTACTACAGACGTGGCAAATTAAACAACGAAAAGCCAATTAAAGGACAGGAAAGGTTTGAAACCCACTCCAGGAGCTCACCAGCTTTCACGCTGACATGCAACCCTGCTACACCCCGCAAAAGCACAGCCCAAAACCACAGCGCCACGCTTTCCCCGTGCCATCAGCACGGAAAACACTCCCTGCGAGTGCAGCCTGTTCTCCGGCAGCCCGGGAGGCTCAGCCGGCTGTCGAACCAGCACTGCGGACACCAAACCCCTCCCAGCACCTCGCGGGACGCCGGACCCGCACTCACTTGGCTGCTGCCGCCGCGTAGGGCCGGGTTGTGGCGGGGCTCGGCACGGCGGGGACGGCGAGGCGCTGCTCCAGCCCGGCGAGGGCCCAGCCGCACCGCGGGGCCAGCGCTGCGGGGCGACAGCAAACACCGCCTCAGACAAGCCCCCCGACCCGGACAGACCCCCGCGCTCCCCCTCCAGCCCTGAGGGCCGCGGCAGAGCGGCGGGGGCAGCGCCCGCGGCTCCCTCAGCGCGGCCCCCTCACCTCGCCACAGGCAGCGGGCGCTGGGCACCGCCATCTTGCCGAGCCGCCCTGGTGCGCCGCCGGAACCCTTCCCCGCGGAACTCGCTCCCCGAGAAGAAACGTTCCGGCAGGCCCAGCGCTTTAGCGGTGCGCCATCTACCGCCGTCCCCCCCAGCCGCCTTGCCCCGGCCTGGCGTTCCGCGGGTGCGCGGGTTCCGGCGCCTGCCCGCTGCCCCGGGAGAGGTGACCCATTGCCCGCGGGTGGTGAAAAGCCTCCAGCTCGCTTCTTCAGCGGCCTGAGAGGGGCCTCAGGGCGAACCTGCGGTTGTTTCGTAGCGCTGCAGGCCGAACTGGTCTCCCTTCCCCGAACCAAAATGGCGGCGGCTGCTGAGGGCAGCCAAGGCCGCGGCCCTCAGCCATGGAGGCGTTTACACCCGCTCAGCCTCGGCTCTGTGTGGGAGAACATCGCCTGTCTGTGGCTCAGCAGTGCCTGCTGCAAGCCACGTGTAATTCCAAAGAGAGATTTTTTCCGGCTGCCATCTCACCTCTATTCCCTTGCGGATTGGGTGGGAAAAGAGACGCCTTAATTCACCGTCCTGGAGCAGCATCCGCTTACAAAGGCTTTGTTCAGATCCACACCACAAACTGCAATGCTTAAATGGGGCTTTTATTCCACACCGGTGTGCTCTTGACTAAAAACACTCCAACCCCGTAGTCTTCCCCAATCAACGCGTGTCCAAGCGTTTTTAAACCAGGGCTATGCGGCGACTCAAAACTCCCCAATGGATCCGCGCGCAAGGATTTTTAAACCAGGCACGGTGCAAAACAAGCCGTAACAAAACCGTGCTCACCCCATCCAACTCCCGGCTCAGCGTCCTGGGAAAGGATGGACGCGGCGACGGGAGGAAAATGAACCCTCCTCGGCTAAAACGCCTCAGCTGAGGGGTGGCAGCCATTTGTTCAAAGCTCCAGGGGGGAGATGTAATTATTTTGGACGGGCACTTGGCATTGCAGAGGTGTGAGAGGAGACTGTTCAATGTGCACCTGTGGCAGGTAACCTGCATCCTTTACCATCTTCCCTCAGCCCCCCGTGAGCCTCTGGCTTTTTCACCCACCAGGTGCCCGCCGTGGAGCACGGATTTCGGGCTGGCAGATAACACTCAGCCATCCCCAACACCTCACTCTCCCCAAAGCCTCTTTCCTACCAACACCCCCTGCTCCATCGCTGCGGCCCTTCCCGCTCTCCGGCCATCCATGAACTTCTTGGCTCCAGCACCAAAAAAAATTAAAATTCCAATTAAAAGCTCCAGAGCCTGATGTCTTGTCCCTCCCTGTGCTGTCCCGACCGCTTGTTGCTTCCTCAGACACTCCCTAGGTCTCCCCGGTGCTCTCTTTTTTATTATTTTTTTTTTTTTACCTGCACTTCCCTGCTCCCACGAGGATCTAGGCCACTAGGGCTCCGAATCAAACCCCAGTGCCCAGAGGAGGAGAAACAAAGGCGCCAGATACCAAAACACTCAAACCCCCGCCGTTCGCCCCGCACTCCCAGGCGGCCTCATCCTTCTCCCACCGGTGACAGCCGCGTCCTCGCGGCCGCGAAACCGAGGGGGAAAAAGGATGGGAAAAGGATGGGAAAAAGAGGGAGTAAAGGGGGCGGGAGGCTCTTCCGTGCCGCCCGCCCGTGAGCGCTGACACGGCCCCGCGAGTGCCCGCGCTCCCCCCGCCGCGGCCCCGGCGCCGCCCG